GCAAAGAACTATCAAGCAAAGCGAAGAAAGTTGTATGTGAATCAGCCTTAAGAATTTGTATATTTTCTATGTTCTATGTGACTCTGAATATACATTGACAGTTAAACACGCATAGTACCATCGTATAGCCCGTATACAAATCTATAGATATCACAGTTTTCGCTTCCCAGCTAGTCGAAAAGTATCTTGTTTTGCACCGCTCAGCGCGCTGGGACATTTGACGTGAATTGCCCCATATATATAAATATATTTGAAAAGAAACCAAAAAAATTTATGAAGTAGTAGTTACGCAGAAAAGGAGTATCTACATACATTTGTATTGCTTTATTTTGGTACTATGCAGTTCGATATATGCGTGGTGGTTACACGAGAGAAACAGAACTTGGATAAGTATTCAAAATGTATTATTTGTATTTAAATGATATATAAAAAATTCCTTACTATAATAAGGGAGCATTATCATCTCTTTTTTGGTTGCTTGTGTTTCCGACAGGGTAGGAGTATGATAAATCCAATGACAAAAGAAAGTAGGATAACGAAAACAAAACAATCAGGGTTCTAAAACAAACACTAAAGGCGAACAATGTGATCACAACAAAAGCAGACAAAGGGAACACAACGGTTTGCTGGGTTATGGAGCTACTTCGGCAGGTGAAAAAGAGAAACGAAAGTAAAAATTCTTCCTTCCCTCCTACGCGTTTCGACGCTTTGCGTCTTCCTCGGGGAGTCTGTTTTATTAAACAATAAATAAAAACTGTTTTTGTTATTTTATGGCCTTATAACAATTATATTCAAAAATTTTTATTGAGCTTGAGGCCGTTTTTAATGAAAAACTTATTGTGGAAAAGCAAAAATTATTTAAAAAAATGGTAGAAGTGATAGCTATTTTGGAAATCAACACATTTCCTCATCAGACTTCTTTCAGTAGGATGTGAACCGACGATCCCACTGACTCATACATATTACTGTTATGTGCCGTAGATTAGGATATGTATATGACACAGCTAAGTACGTATGTGTTATATACATGAATTAAGATAAGGAATTACTATAAATGAAGGAGCTCGGGGCAACCAGCGTCAGTACGTTTTCTACCCTTAACCTTAGTGTTTTAATCTAACAATAGTTTTATAACAACCTTTGTGAACTTGTGTTTATGTGTTTTTGTACATTACCTGGCCTTGACCTCTTTTGGTCACAATATTTTTAAGCTATAATAAACAATTTTTTAGTAAGTAAGTTATTGGTTTTGAAATTTTGTTGTATAGCCCCCCGCCTAAATTATTTTTGTAAAATCTGCGCTTGTTTTGTAGAATGTGCGATTGCTTTCATTCTCCACACTGAAAAATATATTACGAATTATAACACAACACTTTGATTTTGTTTTTATCGTTAATTTTAAGCGTTTTTGTTTAACAAAATGTTTTGCAAAAACGCTGAACATTAATGATTAAAATATAATGAAAGTGTTGTGCTATAATTTGAGTTATGTTTTTTATAGTGTTAATAATTAAAGCAATCATACATTCTACGAAAGAAGTTCAGATATTACAAGTATAACTGTCGTAAATAATAAATATTACCAAAATTTTCTGACTACACTGTTGTTTTAAATTAATAAAAAAAGGTTATTTTACCTGTAATAAAACTTAAGTATTTTATTCATATGTATACGAATAGGCTCTATATTATATATTTTTTTATTGCTTAGGCTTCATTCAATAAAGTATATTGTTGCAAAGTGTTAAACTCTGAGACTCAACAAAACTTTATCAAGTCCCCCACATTGTATCGCAAGCAGTGATCGGACTTCTACCACATTGTGGTAGATCTGCCACTTTTTGAGCATCTACCACACAAGGTCTGAAATCTACCACATATTCGCATTCTTGTGTAGTTTTATTCTTGCTCGACATAATTTTCTTAATTTTAAGAGCAAAAATTGTCCAACACTAAACACTATTAACCAGGGAACGGATTTTATGGAAATTGCCTTTTTTCTGCTAAAGAGTTAGAGTATATTCGATTAAGAATGTCCACGATTTAGCTTTCCCTGATTCCATATATACACATTTGATGTTGCCTTTTTTTGCCTTTTTCAAGATATTTGCCTTTTCTTGCCTTTTCTACCTTTAAAAAAGCGATAGCATTTACAATTTTTTTTTTTAAAGATTAAAAAATATACACATGCCCATGCGGCTTATAGAAGCGTTAAGCGTAAAGGGCGAGGAAAACGCCCTTATTCCTGATAATATGAACGTTTCAAACGTTCCATATTTAAATTGGGCTCCACTTGTATCAACTTACGTCGAGCGCACATTTAGTACATTCAAGGCTTTTCTTCGCGAAAATCGAATGAAAATGCTGCCAGAAAACTTCAAAATGCATCTTGTGGTTCAATGTTACTACAACTATACAGATTAAAGTTTTATTAGTTAGAAACTCGAAAGGATAAAATAGTCAAAGATTCAAAGTACAAATTTTTCATATAATGAAACTAGTTCATAGTTTTTCGCTTTTTACTTGTAATATAAACATTTCTAAAATAAATGTATTTTTTGATTGTTCTTTGTATTTTCTGTCGTTTTTTAGTGCCTTTTCCTGCCTTTTTCGCTATTTTGTTTTGCCTTTTTTGGCCTTTTTTGCAACACCTAATGCCTTTTCCTGCCTTTTTCACTATTTTATTTTGCCTTTTCCAGCCTATTTCCTTATTTTATTTTGCCTTTTTTATAGGTTTTTAGGTCCTAAAAATCCATTCCCTGCTAATAACAGTCAGAATGGGATTATAAAATAAATTGTAAAATATTAAATTTTCTCAATATTAAATTTTTCGACAGGAATCGTGGCTTTATGTTAAATTGCAAAATATATGATTTCTAAAAATAACTAATAGCGAAAATGTTAAAAAACGGCGATTTTTGTGAAAGCGTAAGCAAATTTCAGTGCATTAAAAGCTTCTAAAGCGTTGTTTACCTTTACTTGAGAATTGTCAAAATCGGCAAATCCCAAGTAGCGGCTTCTGGAACGTGCCACATTTGTTCGCTACATCGTGATCTTTCAAAATATGTTGGAANTAAAAATAACTAATAGCGAAAATGTTAAAAAACGGCGATTTTTGTGAAAGCGTAAGCAAATTTCAGTGCATTAAAAGCTTCTAAAGCGTTGTTTACCTTTACTTGAGAATTGTCAAAATCGGCAAATCCCAAGTAGCGGCTTCTGGAACGTGCCACATTTGTTCGCTACATCGTGATCTTTCAAAATATGTTGGAAAAATATCTTGATATGGAAGGAACTGCTTTATACGTTCAAGAAAAAAAAAATTGCCAAAGCTCAACGCAATTTTTAACAACTTCAATCCTGTACTTTATTATACAAAAATTATTATTTTTTTTTATTCTAATTAAAATGTTTGCAATTTATCTGAAACCTTGCAGAGTATTTTTAATTTTTGTATAAGTTTGATCCAAAACATGAGCTCTACCACATTTTTTTTTAAATCTACCATATTTTTTTCCAGATTCTACCACACAATTTTTTTTTAAGCCCGATCACTGATCGCAAGACGCAGCGTAGGCGATGTTAAAAACAACATTGTCAACATTCGTTGCTTGCGCTCATCTGCTCTTTTGCCAGACTGCTGGGCCTCTTGCTTACTTTGGTGAATACCACTATTGTATGCTTAAAAGCATAGTATATCCACAGCTTTAGTATTTAATTTTGAATTGTAGTTTTATCCAGCAAATCCCTTTTTAAAACGTTTAAAATTATATTATACTTCTCACAGCAGCCAACAAGTAATTCCGCAATGACACGCGATACATAAAAACATGATGAAATATTAAACTGCGGTAATTCATTATATTGTACGAAAATATTCGTATGTTGTACGAATTTAAAAAACATGTTTCTGCATTAGAACTTTGTACGAAAGTATTAACTAAATTGTACGAATACAGAATTGAAAATTTCGAAAATTTTAAAACCATACATAAATATTACGAATGCCTTCCTACAATATACAAAATTATTCGTACAGAGATTTGTTCAGTGCTTTACGAATGTGTTTCGTAAAATAAACGTAAGATTTCGTAAATTGTACTGAAAAAATGCCTTACGAAAGTCCTTTCGTTATATTTACGTGTGGTTCGTAAAATCTTGTTTCGTTGGGAAAAATGTGTTCGCATTATGAACGAAAGTTTCGTACATTGTACAAAAACCAAGACTACGAAAGTTCTTCGTAGCACTTTTACGAAATTTTATTTTCAGCGTATCGACGATTACGACTTCATGCATTTCACATGTGAGCGATAAAGTAGCCGTTGTATTTAACCGGAGCTTCTACTTCCGATTTGTGTTAACCAGACATTGAACAATGGGCCCTAAGACTTTATGAGCACTTTACGCACTCAGAAAAAACATTCCTTGATGCTAGGGAAAAAAATATTATTCTAAGTAAATATTACCTTGAAATGGCTCCAACGACATGGCTGCCTTAATATGAGTCAACGATTTGACTCAGTTTAAGGAAAACACAATTCCTTAGTTTTTAGGAAAAATTTACTTGCCATTGCAGCCCCGTAAAAGGAATAAGTATGTCATTTTGCACGCGGCGGCCAGACAGAGCAAAGATCTGGAGTGCTAGTCGAACACGAAGATCATGGATCCGCAGTCTTGCGCCTAAATTTCATTTGGCAACATTTCGCCATCTTGAATTAAAGTTTTTTTTTGGTTTTCTGCGACTTGCAAGCTTATTTTGCAGTTTTCGTAAAAAATGGTTAAATACAAATATGTAGAGAATTTAATTTTGTTGTATAGAAGGTTTTTTAGAATTTTTGTTAAAAAAAATTATAACAGCAATTTTTTGATAAGTGCGGAACACATTGAAATCGACGAGCTACGAACCACAGCTGTCAAATTATTTTTCCACGTATTCTTATGTAGATAATTATTTTGGCGACGACACGGCAACCTTGCGACTAGCCAAAAATGTAGCCAGATTACATCTATTTCTATTTTGACAGACGACAAAGGCTTGTCTTCTTCTTCTTCGGGCAAATTGTCATTTGGCTTTGCAATTTGTTTTGTTTCGCGCGCGTCTAATTCTTACAAGCTCTTTTTATTAAGCATTTTAAAGTTTTACCAATGGAAATTGATGAAATTTTAATTGAGGAAGTGCGCCAGCGCCCAGTAATATACGATTTGGGCCTGGAAGATTATAAAAATCTGCGAAAGAAGGACTTCGCCTGGAGGGAGGTCGCTTCAAATGTTCATTTAGACGGTAGGTACTAAAAATTTAGGTATAATTTGTTTATCTTAATTGTTAAGTTAATTTATAGAGGCAATGTGCAAAAAGCGGTGGAAGGGGCTGCGAGACTGCTATAAACGCTGCAAAAGAATGGAGCTGTCCACATCAGGAAGCGGTGCTGAAACTCCTCGGCGTAAGTGGAGGTATTTGGAGGCGATGTCTTTCCTGGACAATGTTACAAGCACCAGAACGTAAGTACATGTACATTTATTTGTAAGCTAAAAAATACTGTTTTAAAAGTGTATTTATTATATTTGTTTTAGAACAATTGGAAGCATACCCGAGGAGCTTGTAGTTATTGACGAAGAAAGCTCCACAGCGGCAGAAACACCGCCGTCTAGTTCACGGGTACGAAAGGTAAGATTATTTTGATTTTGATTAGTTTCGTAGAAGTGGGTTTCCTACGTAGCTAGTGGCACTAGCGCCGGTCATCTTAAACTTTTCCAGTTGTTAACAGTGTCCAGTGTCGTCAGTGTCCAGAATTACAAATATAACTCGTATCGACCCTATCACCAGTGTCCAAAGTAACCATTTTGTGGATGTTGGTTGTTTCCTAATTGAGAATTTGTAATATACATATACATATGTAGGTACATATATGTATGTAAGTAAAAGGAATTTCGTCTGAATTGCTGCATATACTTTCCTCCGCTTGTTGTATAGAGAACTAACGAGCTAACCTTTTTATACCCGAGCGCACTTGTGCACAAGGGTATATTAATTTTGTTCACATAACGGTTGTTTGTAACAGCCAAAACGAATCGAGATAGATATAGACAAATGTATACATAAATGATCAGGATGAAAAAAGAAATCGATTAAGCCATGTCTGTCTGTCCGTCCGTCTGTC